TATATTTATTCACTTATCATGTCTTTTCATCTTTATATTAACTTCTATTATATTTATGTATTATATTGTAGCTATCCTTACAATATTATTCTTAATTCTCATTTTTACTAATTAGTTCTACTCTAAATTGTAAATAATATTAAAGTTAATAAATTTATGTTTCATTGAATAATAATTCCTGAACTGTCATAAATCGTATTTATTAGTAAAGATATGTAACATTTATCTATTATTTTAATTATCGACGTATCATTATTTCGTAGATGTAATATTATTGGATTCTCATCTCTCATAATCTGGAAAAATTTTTTCGTATACAAGTTGAGGCGCATTGTTGGCCCATAAAAAGTCCAGATGGTTAAATTTGGGACTCCGATATTTGATATAAGTCCATTACGTTGGGTAATACATGGGACAACCTCTTCAAATCCTTGAAAAATCGTTTTCACGTGTTATTTTACACAAAAACTACTACTTTTTCTGTTTCATTTTATATACAATTTAACGCATAACAAATATACAAATTAATCTCTATTGCATATGTATTTTTATTTGAACATCATTTTTAAAAAACAGTAAAAAATAATAAAAAAAATATAATTGTATAATACATATATAGTTTTTTATTTTTATACATTAATATATTGTTTAATATAAAATATAAACTTTTATAAAAACAAATTAAATTTTAAATATAAAATACTTAATATTTCAGATTTTTCGTTACCTACCATCGAGCTGATCAACTTGTCATCGTCGAAATAGAACAAAGCAACTGGTATCGTGATATTCGCTAGATCATATTCCGGAAGCTCCACCAAGTTGTATATCACGAGATTTTTCGCGCGACCGTAGTCATATTGACGAAACTCGCCCGATTCAATTATCTGAGCGAAATGCGCCGTCGTCTTAATCGAGGCACCGGCCGGAAAGTAACTGAAGATGACGGGCAGTAGAGTCTAAGTAAAAAAAAAAAACATTAACATGTAGAATAAGATGACTATAGTTTTTTAAATGCACAAGAAACATATTTTATTTTTCATTAATAACTGGGAATTATTATATTTTGTTATTTTTTAACAATATTTGAATATTGTCGAAATCAAACGATAAGTACTTGAAGAATTTCTATTATCAAAAATATTTTATATTATCAAAATTTTATATTATGGAAATATATTAAAACATTTTAAATATTAAAAATTTATTTGATCAAAATATTAATATTCAATTTACATTATAATTTGAAGCGTGATCATACAAATCACGGGAGACGAAACGACTTTAATCATCATGTACTTGTATTTTGATGACGACATTCACAAAATTATTACTTACGTGATTAAACTGTTCGCGATTAGTACCGAAAATCATAGATATCACATTGTTGCAGAAATTTTATTTTGATCGCAATTATTTCTTATGATAGATCTCAAGAAATTATCCGGCAAAAGTTTGCCGTGAAAAAGAAAAATCCCATTACTCTTTGTCGACAAAAAAGGAAAAAAAAAACAAGACTTCTCAAAGCACCCGTCAGATGCGGCCAAAACGTTAGGATCCTCTAAGAATAGTATTTTTAAAAAAATGATATTCTCTAGGGATGTGTTTATATACATACATATTTTATAGTGTAAAAAATAAAACATAATATACCTAATTTCTTTTGTTGACAAAAAGAAATATTGTTATAAACAGTTATTATATGGTAAATGAATTCTTTTCATGTAACACAATAGCTTTACATATTACTTTACCTGTAATTCTTTTTTGTAGGAGACCAAATATCGTATTGGACTTTGCATATGGTTTGTATAAAACCGCTGGCGCAAGGTTGATCATCATTCGCACCATTTGAGCGATTTCCGACGCTTTGACGCCGTTATATAAAACTGGTTGCACCCATTGAATGACCGATGTATGTATGCAATAGTTCCGATCTCATATTAGTAATAAATGTAATCATCGCGGATATGTCGTAGATGCCCATCTCATTAAAACTAATGGAAAATTTGATTCATCATAAAATATGTTTATATATTAATATATATATATATATATATATATATATATATTTAAAAATCTGAGACTACAATAGTATCTTTATATAAGCACCGTCTGTCTGTATGTATATACGCGAAACTAACTTCCGCATTTGTGGACCGATTTTCATGAAATTGGTACTAAAATGTTGCAAATTTTTCGGAGGTGGCTGTTGTGGGGTTTTTTTTTAAATTTTTTAATTTTTTTTCCTCAGAGGAGAGTATGTTTCTTTTTTTGCAATATTTTCTGAACACATGGTATCAAAAATGTTGCAAAAATTTGGAGATAGCGACGATGCGGTTTTTTCAAGTGTTACACCAAGAGAGAGAAAGAGGAGAGCGGTGTGTGTCTTAAAGAAAGAGAGAGAGATTATTAATTTTAATTGTAGATATATATTTATGTATTTTTTTAGAATAACATAAGTAGTGAAGCCGTTACAATATCAATGAACTGAATCATATGATGAGCAAGACAGCACGGATGAAATGTCACAAGGCAAAGAAATGGAAGAATTTAGAAACGGTAATAAAAATTAATAATAATTAATTTAAAATTTTAAAATTTTTAATATATATTTAATTGCATAATATCTTTTAATTATATCTATATAAATCTACATTATACATATAGATATCTAATTAAAATTTTTAAAAATTTCAGTGCTTGAAGATGGGCTCGATGACATTTTATTACAAGCACTAATTGAATTTAAAAAATCAGGAGATAAAGAAAGAAGAAGGGAAAAAAGATAAGAAACGAAAAGATATAAGTAATGATGAGAAGAAGAATAAGAAAAATAAAAAAAATAAATTTGATATGTGAAAATATGAATTCATAATGATTTATTTCATTGATTTTTTTTTTCATAATAATTTATATTAATATCTATTTCTAATGTATGATTTAATATGTAATTTTTATATTTAAATATACGTAATATGTATTTACTATATATATATATATATATATATCTATTTAATGAAAATATATCTCTATATATATTTAATTTATAGATATTTATCTAAAAAGTAAAGTGATGAGAGAGAGAGAGGAGAGAGAGAGAGAGAGAGAGGAGAGAGAGAGAGAGAGAGAGAGAGAGAGAGAGAGAGAGAGAAAGAGAGAGCGTGTGTCTTAAAGAAAGAGATAAATAAAAATTATTAATTTATTACAGATATATTCTATATATTTTACTGTGAAAAGAATATACATAGATTTCTGATATTATAAGGGAATCAATCCATAAAGTGAAAGTAGGTCACGGTTATATAGATAAATGAATAGAAAAAATATTTATAAATATGGATACTTACGTTGCAATTTATCTCTTTCCATTTCTTTTAAGACTGCAGGCTGTGGATTGTCAGTAGCCACCTCAGATTGTGGATTATTATCAACAGCCACTTCAGATTGTAGTGGCTGTTTGGCCAAAGCATTGCCCGGCCGGAGTCTTATAGTCTTTGTCGTGAGAAAAATATGTTGAAGTATTTCGCCGCTACCTCCAAACTACATTCTGGCGATCATCACGGTACCAATCGCATTCGTCTACGGTTCTGCGACTGGATAATTAATATCGCGGTGAGTAGCTAAAGAATGCATGAGCGGATAAATCACGTAGGAGAGAAAGAGAGAAAGAAACATAAATTAATTCGCGCTAATTGTATTATATATCAAGTCAAATTTCGTAATAGAATTAAGAAGAGAATTACAACAATTTTTTTTTAGAAAAAACTATGTGAGAGGAGAGAGAGATATATTGATTTCGCGCTAATTTGTTTATAAATGAGTCAAGTTTTGTACGTAGAATTGTAGGAAAAACGTTAAAACAAATAAATAAAATTTAAAAAATAATTATTCTTGTCGGTGGAAATGTGAAAATTTTGCGATAATTTATTTATTAGATCATTTTTTAAGGATGTAACAAAGGCTCTATCACGCGTTGCCTAATGTAGGAAATATTTACGAAATGCCTTAGGCAAAATTTAATCATGTGGATTTTTTGTGGGCCAAGGACTACGCCCAAATTTATATACAAGAAAGTATTTAAGCTTATGGAGAGAAAAATCTGAATATTGATATTACGTCAGCAATCAAAATACATGATAAATATCGCACAGTAAATTTTTAGTAATGTTGAATATGATCAATTTTCAATAGAACGCAAACTAACAATATTTTAATATCATTTATGAGACTTTAATAATATTTTAGTATTATTATTAATATTTTAGCATTTGTAACATTTTTTATTATTAATTTATTATTATTAATAAATTATATTATTAGTATTATTATTAATTTAGTTTCATTAGTAATATTTTAGTATTATTTAGTGTAGATGCGTAATACGATTTTATAAGCAATCGTTTTGAATAATAAATTATTGCAATCATAAAAATGTACAATATAACAAAGATATAAAGTTTAAACAATATAAGGACAAATAAATGTTAAGTAATGTATATAATTTTAAAGCTGATTGACTTTTACGTTTCTTAACACATATCCTTTTCAATTTATCTACGTATTTACGAATCATTCAAATTTACCGCAGAAATATTATTTATAAATATAATTATATATATAAATATATATAAATTTATATATAGAATATATTGTACATATTTTCTCGACGTGTTTTAATCATTTGTGAAAAAAACTGATTATTATTATTTTATTACCGATCACTATTATTATTTGCGTTTTTTATCTTGTATTTATATCCTTTATGAAAACCATTTGACATATTAATATTATGATTGACAATTATGATAAAGAGAAAGAAAATTCCAGGTACGTCTGGCACACATAATAAAGTGCACATTCAAAGACGTAAGTATATTAATAAGTATATAATTAAAGTTATAATATGTTTATTAATAAGTAATTAAAAAATCTAATTTTTTAAAACTATTAAGTATTATTAAAAAATAGATGCAATCTTTGGTTTACAATAATTAAAAAAAATATATTCAATTTATTTATATTATAATTGTAAAATAGATGTTAAAAATAAAACGTTCCATTAATTCCATTAAAATTTCCGTTAAAAAATATATCTGTTCAATGTACAAATCATTTGAAATCGTAAAGATTAAAAGATACAATCAAAATATTTTTTAGCTACTTTTAGCTATTGCGAAGAAAATACACCTATATTAGTTAACGAAAAGGTCACATTACAATTCATCAAAGTTAACGATAAAAATCAAAATAAATTAACATACATTTTTTTTCAAAAATTAATAAGCCTATGAATACTAATAACGCGATATAATATTATATCTTTTTTCTTTTTCGAGTTGACAAAAAATAATCACAAATACAATTCGATTCATTTTGAAAGGAGCGTGTAAAAGAGAAGAATACTATATATAAAGGATTCTTTATATAAGATTTTAGTAAAGAGCGGTTACTCGCAATCGTATCATTTCGCGGTCAGGTTCGTTTTTTCGCGATGACATATCTAGATACTGATATTCCAAAAAATTCTTGACTTGTTTATTTTTTTTCTGTTTATGAAATCATAGATGCGATGAGATTATCGGGATTATATGTTTCCTGTTATTTTGTGGTTTTCTAAGTGCGACATCGACGTTACCGGAAATGATTTCTGAACTAAATGTGCTCATTAAGAGAATAAAAAAGACTAGCAATCGACCAAACAACATCGAATTTAATTCTGATGGTCCCAGTACGGTGAGTTTACATTCATAAAAACAATTAAAAATAATTTTTATTATTTAGGTTAATTAAACTTCTTCCATGTTGTCAGAAAATGATTAAAAATGATCTTATATACATGCAAGTACTACTCAAAATTTAAATTTTTATTCCGCAAAATTATGCTTTAATGATAAAGAAAATATTATTTATATATTTTCTTCCTTTTCAAGAGGCGATTCAATATATTTATTTATTAATATTATTTAACGCAAATCTTTTTTCTATCTTAACATACATATGTAATATATATAAAATTTATACATGGTATTATGTTTCTTACTCTAATAATATTTATTGCAGTCTAAAATAATTTTAAAAAATATACATACATACAATCTATATATATATATATATATATATATATTTATATATAATATATATATATATATTTATATATATATATATATATATATATATTATAATTGCAAAATACACATTAAAGTAGTCATTATAATTTTAAATGTAGTAATTCAAAATATAAGTATGAAAAGGAATATTAATATTTAAGTTAATTTCAGTTTATCAGTTTCATATTTTATGAAAGAACCATCCCCAGCAATTTTATTATTTTCAAATTACCTTATAATCTAAATTAAAACTAATGTTTATACTTTGATTTAATTTTTAAATTATATTTTATTTATTATAATTATTTTATATTAACTCCTCATGTTTATTAAAAATTTGTTTTATACTTATATATTTTATATTATAGAAAATAATTGATTTATTTGAAAATAAATGTTATGTATATTTTGTCGCACAAATTTCAATTTATTTCAACTTTAGATCTAGTGTTATAAAAAAGCAGGAAAATATATTTTATAAAAAAAGCCACAAAAAACTGTTTTTTCGGAAAAAAAACAGAAAAATATTGGAATGCAAAAGTGGCGCTCCTAGCGATAAAAATGAAACTACTAGTTGTATTTGTATTACGTTTTACGTTATTTATGTTCATTTTATTTCATATGTGATGATATTGTCTAAGTCACAAATGTGTTACAACTCATAACACTACAATATTTTTGTTTATTTTATATTATTATTTTATAAAATTTTATTATTTTTAATGTAAAAATAAATGATTAAAGTCAATTTACTCAATTTTTATGTTTGTTTTGTTTTATTATACATGTTATAAGTTATAACTATACCTATATATGTATTTTCATCTTTAACTAATCATTCTTAGGAATTATAAAAGCCCCTACGTCCGCAATAATAATCCAGCCAGCATTAAATTAAATAATCTAAAGAAAAATATTTTTCTATATTTTTCGAGAAAAATTATCGAAAACAAAAAAAAAAAAAAAAAACGTTTCTTCCATATTTTTTTTTTTTTTTTTTAGATCTACTTTATTTCCTTTTGTACTCAATTTTCTCTTTCAGACGGAGATGATAAGAAATGAAGGTTATCCCGCAGAAACTCACGTTGTAACGACGGAAGATGGCTATCTTTTGACGGTACATCGTATCCCAGGTGGTAACAGCTCTCTACCAGTATTACTAATACATGGTCTTTTAAGTAGTTCCGCCGATTTTTCGTTCTTGGCAAAGGCAAAGCACTCGGTACGAATATAATTATAATTTATAAAAAACTTATATTAAATAAAAGAGTCTCGGGATATATCAGCATTAATAAAAGATAATTATCTTTATCTCGGAATATATCAGCATTAATAAAAGATAATTATCTTTTATTAATGCTGATATATCCCGAGACTCTTTTATTTCGATTGTAGCGAAGCATTCAAAAATATTATACAATCTTATATAAAATAATATAATGTTATATATATGTGTAAAATAATTATAAGTTACGTAATAAGAATGTTTCTTTTTCACATGCTAGGTTTCCTATTAGCGGATGAAGGATACGATGTTTGGTTGGGCAATATGCGTGGTAATCTCTATTCAAGAACACATATTTCTCTATCTCCGTCGAACTTGACATTTTGGGATTTTAGGTACACACATAAAATCAAAATAATGACTTTGAAAATGACATAATAAAAACGCAACAACTAGATTGATTTATATATGATCACTTATACATATATAATTATATATACAAATATATATTTTATTTATTTATTTATATATAATATATATATTTATATATACTCAGTCTAAAAAAAGCGGTACACTTAAAATTTGGAAAAAAATCACCAAATTTCAAATAACAATAACATTGTAAATAATAAAAATAGAAAGATTTAAAAAAATGAAAATAATCCGTTATTTTTAATATCTCGCAGCATTGAAATGAATAAATTCTTAAAGAGATTCCAAGCTTTATTTTTATTTTTTAGAAATCTTTCTGTCTTTATTATTTATGAAATTATCGTCATTTGGAATTTGGTGATTTTTTCCAAATTTTAAGTGTACAGCTTCTTTTTGGAGTGAGTGTATTGATATATATTTTTATATGTATATTTATATATCTAAATGCAGCATTATTTTAAATTGCACTTATCTAAAGATACTCTTTACATATAATAAGTATGTAGTATATTTCACATGGGTAAAATATACATAAAAGTATTACTGTAAATCTTATAAAGAAAATATTTATCTTAATTTTTCGGCAAAATATTCAGAAATGTATCATTTTCGAGATATCTCATTTTTTAATATGTTAATATGAATCATATAGAGCATTTGATATTCCTTAGTTTTTTGTGCCAATATAAATAATTCTTTGCGTTTTTAGTAATTTTAGTAATTTTATTATAATTAAGTATTTATATTCTTATTTAAAAATAAAAATAAAATAAAAAAAAACAGATCTCCGAAAAGCAGCATGTTTTCAGGAATTTGCCAAAAAATAAATGCTTATTTTCTGATAAAAGAACATTTTTGTTACTATACATATTCTTTGCATATATTTATAAATATGAGTGTATATATTATATGTAGTAATATGCATATTTATGACGTTATATTGTTTGTATTTTCTATTAGCTATAACGAAATGGGTACGTATGATTTACCCGCGATTATTACATATATTACGAATATGAGATCGCAACCATTGCACGCGTACATTGGTCATTCGATGGGCACAACCAGTTTTTATATAATGGGATCAAAGCGTCCGGAAATCGTTGAAAAAATGCGATTGATGATCAGCTTCTCGCCGACTACCTTTATGGACCATATGAAAAGCCCGATAATAATTCTCGTTCCCTTATTTAAAAAGATTAAGGTAAAGTAATATAAAGATTAAGGTAGAGTTTGCTTTAATAGAAATTTAATATAAGACTTGATTATAAAGATACATAATAACAAAAATTGGGAACATGCTAAAAATGATGGCTTCTCTCAACATTTTTACTAAGGAAAAATCGTATCCAAATGATACGAGGAATCTGCCATTAAAAACTTTTCCGCCAGTTCTGGGACACTCTGTATATATGTATATATACATACATACACATACATATATATATATATATATATATATGTATATATATATATATATATGAATACTTTATAGATTCAATTATATGACAGAGACGAACAATATACATATATATATATATGTATGTATATTGTTCGTCTCTGTCATATAATTGAATCTATAAAGTATTTCAATTTATTAAATAAAATTAGAAAATGCTTGGAAATTTATTTATTTTCTCAAAATTATAAATATAAAGAAATAAAATAATGGCAAGTCTCATAGATCACGATATAATATACAATAGACCTTCGATTACAGATAATAATGGATGTTCTCTTTCATGGCGAATTAATGGATAGAAGTTTGTTTCAATATTTTGCAGAATTCTGCAATCGGAATTATTCCAATCAAAGGTTTTGCCTCAACGTGGCATTTACAATAGGTGGTTTCAATCACGAACAATTCAATTATGTAAGTAATATAATTCTATTTATACAATTAATTATACAATTTCGTCGCAATCGAAGTTTATTCGAACACATTTTACTTTGCACTTTGGATCGGACTTTGCTTCCATATTATTGTCCTTTTTGACTTTTATTAGACTCTATTACCTCTTATCATGAATCACGTTCCCTCCGGCGCCTCGTATAAAACATGGCTACATTACGTTCAAGGAATAGAATCAAGAAAGTTTCGCTCTTATGACTACGGTCGCGAGAAAAATCTGCTGATGTACAACTCGGTGGAACCTCCGGAATACGATCTATCGAAGATCACGGTACCAATCTTTATGTTCTACGGCAACAATGACTGGTTGGTCGACCCTATTGTAAGTAATAAATAGTATATTGTGTATCAAGTGCGGAAAGTTGACAATTGGTCACGAGTGCGGGAGATGAACGCACAAGCCGAAGGCGAGTGTGACCACCCCACACGAGAAAACAATTGTCAATTCGCACTTGATACACACGATATTTTGTATTACAAGTGCAGGCAAAGTGGCTTTGTGCGCGTTTTCTGTGCGCAAGGTGGCCAATCGCACGCCGCCATCTTGCGACGGCACGGTGCGGGAATAACCGCGTTCAAAGTCATTGTCTACGGCTGAAGCCGTAGGCAATGACTTTGAACGCGGCTCAGCCATAGGTAATGGCTTTGAATGCGGCTTATTCACTCACCGCGTCGCCGTTAGATGGCGGCGTGGGAAATCGGCCGCTTTCCGCACAGAAAACACGCATACAAAGTGCCACTTTGCCTGCACGTGTAATACAAAAAATAAATGTTTAAATATTGGAAATATATATATTATATATAGAATGTTTTAATTTAAGTGTTACAGTCAATTTTCTTGGAAAGAAGCTATTTTCGAAAAAAATGTTCTATATAAAAGTTGGAAGGTTTTGAGGGAGATATAATATCGTGACCTTGAATTGTCTTTGAGTGGCGTTTTTCAAGGTCGTATATAGCTGCTAGTTGCAAATTATATGCTTTTTTAAAGAGAACTATGTGTTTTCTTTACATCAATGGAGTCCTTACATTATTTTTTGCATAAAAGTATTAAGTTAGATTATCGAACATTTATTTTACACATTTTATGTCATAGTTTCCGTAAGATTAAAATATAATTGTTATTAAAATATATGAAATTGTCGAATTAACATATAAAATGTTTCATAAACTATTCATTTTTAACCATCTTTATAACTTTTTATTTTTATAATTTTTGCCGAATATTGCGAAAAATCGATTTATATGAAAAAAATAAAATAGTCCCATTTAAACAAAACCACTCTGAAAAAATTTATTGAATTTGAATAAATATTTATTTCAATATTACCTTATAAATTATTTATATGAAACTAATAATATTTATTTAATGTGAAAGAATATATGTATATTTAATTGATATAAGAAAATTTTGTTCAAAACAGATAAATATTTATTTGTTTCAAATAAATAATTTATAAGGCAGTATTGAAATACATATTTATTAATTTTTTCTCAGTGTAGATTGATCTCTAAACGATTTATATCTATTTTCAAGGTAATTGACTGTAACTACAATATTTTATATACATATATACATATATTATAGTAGAGATTAATTTACGATAAATCAAGCTTTATATACGTGAAAACGGAAAAATAGTTTAAAAAGAATGGCGCACAACAATTTGCGAAAATATTTTTTTTAAGGATGTGAGGAGAGCGTTCTATTTACTACCCAGCGTAAAGGACATATATGAAGTACCGTTGCCCAATTTTAATCACTTGGATTTCGTATGGGCCAAGGATGCGCCAAAACTCTTGTACGAAAGAACTCTCAAGATTATCAGAGAGGGGAACATTTAATGTTATGTCTACAATATAATGCTACATCGATATAATGAAGATAATAAATAATTTTCTTATGAAAAAAATAAGTAAATGCGAGAAGTGTGTGAAATCGAGATATATATTGCGTGTTGCTTTTTTTCACGTATGTAATTACCATATATAGTGATCGAGATCAATTATAATAATTACCATATAGTTCGCATCAAGTCAGTTTAAGAGTAATAAATGTTAATCTTAATAGTGATAATTGTTTCTATAATTTTAAACACGCTCTTTTATTTTTCATTTATTTTTGACAATAATAATTAATTATTTTTTAATTTAAAGATCAAGTATATATCTCGAAATTTGTTACGTGCTTTTTTTTAAATTTTATATTATCTTGTAGAAAACCATTTAATTTTGTTTTTCTACATTTTTAAACATGCTTTTTCATTTTTTTAATCATTAGAGGCGATAATAAGTTTTCTCTAAACTTGAAGACAAGTACTATAACAAAGGACATGTCACAACTGTGTATTTAACAACATATTTGAAGGAGAATCAAATCGGTTCCGGACAGTTGTGACTTGTCCCTAAGTTACGTAACGTCACGTATTTTTTCTATATTTTTTATTTTTTTTTAAAGGACTATTTTATTAAAGATTTTTATATTTTTAAATGTGCTCTTTTATTATTTATAAAGTTTTAATTATTAGCGATGATAATAATGAATAGTTTAAGGGTCACCATTATCAACATTAAGTTATAACATATCTTTTTAAATATTTTTTATAGTCAAACGGAATACCATTTTGTTAATGTTTATCTATATTTTTAAATGCGATCTCCATTTTCTATTTGATAATAAAAATATTGAAGAAACATGTAGCTACTACTAAATAACTTAATATATTATGGTATCTAAACGACGACTCTAAAATTTGGAAAAAATTAATTAATGTCATTAATAATAATTTAAACTCTTTGAAAATGAAAAGAAATGTGTTTAAAAATATAGGAAAATATTAATAAATCTTTTAATCAACAATAGAACATATAAGCATTTGAAATGCAACAATATACTCGATCTTAATTATAAAGAAAATAATTGTCGCTGTCAGTGATTAAAACTATCCAAAAATAAAAGAACATATTCAAAAATATAGGAAAATGTAAATATGTTAATATAGAATAATATAGGAAAATTGAGACGCGTTTTCGATAATTATTGAAATAGTAAAATTATCTATAAGGCATATTTATATTATGTATAGAGGGTGTCTCGCAACGTGATGTTTACACTAAAACTATGTATTTTTGATGTCATTCTAAGTCAAAAAGTCTTAATACACATATGCCCTAAAGTCAATTGTTTTAAAGTTATGGCAAAGAAAATGCAAAAGTAATTATTTACTTTTATTTACAATTTTCAAATATTATTTACACATTTATTTATTATTTATTTTTTTACTATGACAACGCAGGTAATTGTTTTTTATAATGCCAGTCAAAAAGGTTCGATTTTTGATTGCTGTTTAGCGTGCAAAAAGCGGCTTATTTCTAAACGATTTAATGTACGACTTACCGCACAAGTGCGAGAAAAGCACCTTTATGACTTACTTTACCGCATAGTTTATAAAGTAGTTAATTATTATTATTTAATATTATCGTTCAATAAATAATGTTATTATCTTTAAAAAATAATACTTATTTTATGCAATTTTGTGTTTTTACTGTAACTTTAAAACAATTGACTTAAGGGTATATGTATATTAAGATTTTTTGACTTATTGTTAGGATGACACCAAGAATACATAGTTTTAGTGTGGACATCACGTTGCGGGACACTCTGTATATACATCTATATTGCTTCAAGTAAAATTTATTGTCTCAAGTAAAATTTTCGATAAAAATAACAAAATTAAGCTTTATTAATATTTTTTGATAGAAATTAATTGATTAAGCGTTTATTTACTAACTAAATTTTAAAATAATAGTGTGTAATAAAAATAAAAATAATAATATTTGTAAAATAGTATGTTATAGTACTTTAAATTCGGTTAATATTTTTGACAATTATCAGCTGATTTCTGTCAAAGAATATTAATTACGAATAAGGTACAAATTTTATTAATACTTTTTGACAGAATAAATCATCTGAGAAAAGCGTTAATTTGTTAATTAAATTTAAAAATAATAGAATGTAATAAAAATTAAAAAATAATAATACGTTTTAAATAATAAATTATAGTACTTTAAACTCGATTAATATTTCTTGACAGTTATCAGTTTATTTTTGTAAAAAAATATTAAAACACATTGTTTACAACATTATTATTTTAATTCTTGTAATTTATTTTTATCTCTTTTTCTTTTCCCTTTCCCCTTTGACTCCCCTCTCTTTTAGTTTTGTCGGTGCCTCTAAATATAATTGTTTTCACCAAGTGACTTTAATTCCGTTGAACATATCGACATAGATCGTTGTTTTTTTAGTGATATCACTGCTGTTTAAAGGTAACTTAATTATTTTTATTTATCTGATTATTTGTTAATATCAATTATTGTATTTCTAGTTTGTAATTAAAGATGGTTAAATAATATAACTGAAACGTTTGACAATTGATTGCTGTCATTAATTTATTACAATTTACATCAAGATCGTGTATGTGCTCTCTGCCCATTTGTTATTCTTTAAAAATTTAGTTTTGTTTCAAAATTTAATTAGCAAACTAACTCTTTAATCAGCTGATTTCTGTAAAAAATATTAATTGAGTTTAAACAAACTTTATTTTATTTGTCTTTAAATATCATTTTTTTAATATAAAATCGAAAAATAGTGCGCGCGTTTGTTTTAATAAGATAAATATTACACGTTAAACCTTTAATAAGGCCTACGATTGATGAGAGCTGTAATCATTAATTTAGTGAAAATGTAAGAATTAAAATTAAGAATCACTTTACATATTGCAACTATAAAAATTGACATATATATAATGAAGAACAAGAAAATACATATGTAATAAAAAGAAAAGAAAAATATACGTCATATATAAGTTAAGGTCGACAAAAAAAATTACATAAACAATAAAATATTTCTTATTTGCTGTTGAAAAAGATAAAACATAAAAAAAAACATAAAAAATATCATCGAGATTTAATGAATCAAACATCGTCGATCACCGAGAGATAGAATACAACAATAGAAAAGTGGAATTTATGTGAGTTGACTGGAATTAATGAAGTGAACTAGATTTCTTTTGTGTATATACTAAAGAGCATCAAGTCAAGGCTCATTCTGAGCTGTAGAGTCATTGGATAATGTACTGTAGCTCAAGGATAATGTAATTCTAAGTAGGACGTCACATACTAGATAGTGAGTAAAATAAATGTTATAAAAATAAAACAGAGTTTGATACATTTTTTTCAAATTTCAAAATTAAAAGAAAATCTTAAAAAAATACAAATAATTCAAAATTATAAGCATTAAAAAGTAATTAAAGTAAATAAAATTAATAAATAATTGCAAGATACAATCTGTTTAAAATAATGAAAAAAATAAATAAAAAATAAATAAAAAGATGTAATCTTTTGTTTATAATAAATTTAAAAAATTAGCACAATATATGTATATTATAAATGTAAAATATAGGCATTAAAACTAAATATTCCATTATATAATCAAGTTATATTAAAAAAAAATCTTTATTTAAAATGCAAACTATTTAAAGTCATAAGCATTACATATAAAAGATACAATCAGAACATTTTCTTAGCTATATATTATATATTACAAAAAAAATACATCTACATATATTAAAAAAAAGATTTTATTGCAATTCATACAATTCATACTTGTGTATCATACAAGCTTATACTAATGATAAAAATCGAAGTAATATATGCATATATTTGCATATATATTTTTTAAAAATGTTTAATAATTGTATAAATATGAATATTAATAACACAGTACAATCTTTTTTTTTCTTCTAGTTGATAGAAACGTAGTCATAAGCACAAAGCGAAGGTTCATTTTAAAAGTAGTGATATAAGAAGTAGTTACTCGCAGTCGTCACTCGTATTTATATCGCTTTCGTGTGTTTGTTTTTTTATAACATATATATGTATATTGTCCGGAAAACTAATTACTAATTATTAAAAGATGAAATTTGTGTTTTTTAAAGTTATTAAAAATTAAATATAAATATAAAAAATATATATAATCTGTTTATAATAAAAATACAAAAACTTAATAATTGTAAAATAAGCATTACAAAAATATTCATTAATTTCAAAGTTTTCTGTTAAAAATGCAAATAATTCGAAGTCGTAAGTATTAAAAATTACAGTAGAATTAATTTTTAGGTATTAAAGATTTTGTATGTGTGTAACTCTCGGAAACTTTATCTTTTGAATATTTTTCAAAATGTTTAATAATCGTAAGACAATAATAACGTAATGTCTATAATAAGTATACTTAATTTTTTTCTTTTTGATAAAAACGGTCGACGATTTATTTTAAAAGTAGCGTACAAAGAGCAGTTCTTCGCAGTCGTACTCATTTCGCTGTCGCGTGTGAATTTTTTTCAATAACATATTTCTTGATATTCCGGAAAATTCTTAATAATTTCTTCATTTTCTTTTCTGTCTATACTCAGTCATCGATGCAATGAGATTGATCGGGATCATATGTTTACTGTTATTCTGTTGTGGTCATCTTAGTGCGGCACAGATGTCATCGGAAAGGATAAACGAGCTAAGTCCGTTTATTAATGAAATAAGAGAGATCAGCTGGAATTGGTCGAACAACACCGAATTTAATTCTGATATTCTCAGTGTAGTGAGTTTGCATTCATAAAAACAAAGATTAAAATCTTCATTATTTTGATTAATTAAACTTCTTTGCTGCTGTTGGAAAATGATAAAAAAAGGATATACACGCAATTACCATTTTTATTCAAAATTAAAATTTTAATTCTGCTAAATTATACATTGTCTTTAATAATATATAAAAAAATAGTATCTCTACCTTTGTTCTTTTTAAGAACTAATTTAATATTTCTTTATTAATACTATTCAATTAAATCTTCTTTCTTTCTATCTTAAAATATATAATAATATGTGTAATACATACACACACACACACACATATATATATATATATATATATGTCATTATGTTTCTCACTTTAATAATACTTTTTGTGGTTTGTTTAAAATAATTTAAAAAATTAATTAAAAATAAATATATACAGGGTGTCGCAGACCTACCGTACATTAATGGAAAATTTCTGAGGTGATTTGGAGATGATTTTTCCTCAGCGAAAATGTCTAGGCATCAATAATTTTCGAGTTATAAATGATTAAAAATAAAAACTTTTTTGTAAACTAAGCAGCCTTGTAAAAATTGATTATAACCAAAATTAAATTTTTAGTTAATTTCAGATAAAGTTTACTTTAATAGAATTTTAATTTAAGGCTTATATATATTTACAAAGATATATGATTTCAAAAATTGCAAACATTAAAAAAATGATTACCTTTATCGATATTTTCGCTGAGAAAAAATATTCTCCAAATCGCCTCAGGAATCTCTCATTAACGTGAAACGTAGGTCTGGGACACATTGTATATTTATATCTAATATAATAATAAAATATATATTAAAAATAGTTATTAATTTTTAATACAGTAATTTAAAAGATAAACGTGAGAATCTAATCTTCTCTAAACTGAGTTTTTAAATAAATTTTTCTCGAGTTTCATATTCTGCGATATAACTACTCTGCAGTTTATCTGAAAATTATATTGTAATCATATTAAATTAAAATTATTTAATTTTATTTTAAATTATATATTTTTCATAATTATTATTTTACGTTAACTCTTCATGTTTATCTATTTTTTATATCTATATTATTCATACTCTAGAGAATCGAAAATTTATTCCAAAATAAATATTATATGCATTTTTTGTTGCACGAATTTATTTCAACTTTAGATCAATTTTATCTCCTTTTGTACTAATTTTTTTCTTTCAGCCAGAGATGATAAGAAAGGAAGGCTATCCTGTGGAAACTCACGTTATAATGACAGAAGATGGCTATCTTTTGACGTTATATCGTATCCCAGGTGGCAAAAATTCTTTACCTATATTAGTGCAACATGGTCTTTTAGCTAGCTCCGCTGATTGGCTTGTTCTTGGCAAAAACAATGCATTACGTATGATTATTTAATCAATAGCTAAAATGATGCATATATTTCTAAAAATGCATTAAGAAATTGGAAATTAATATTATATGTATAATATATGAGATATTGTATAAAAAAAATGAGTTATGTGATAAATATTGTAAACATTTTTTCAGCTTACCTATTAGCGGATCAGGGATACGATGTTTGGTTGGGCAATATTCGTGGTAGTACTCACTCGAGAAAGCACATTTCTCTATCTACGTCAGACCCAAAATTTTGGAATTTTAGGTATTCGCGCGCATTAAAAATGATTTACTTAGACAGATATTAGACATTATAAATATTACAAGAATTACATATATTTCTTGTTCTTTTTTTTTAAACAATATTTGATTTGAAAATGTATCGTTTCGAGACTATTTCACATTGTGATATGTCAGTACACTATAATACTATTTCTCTCTTAATTCCTTTATGTAAATAATTCTTTGTGTAAAATTTCGGTGCAATATAAATATTGTATATATTATTTATATTATATATATATATATATATATATATATATATTAACAATATATATATATATATATATATATATATTAACATATATATATATATAATATATATATGTATATATATATATATTAACATATTTTATGATAAATTGAATTTTTCATCAGTTTTAACGAAATGGGTATCTACGATATGCCCGCGATAATTACATTTATCACGAATATGACGTCGCAACCATTGCACGCATACATTGGACATTCGATGGGCTCAACCATTTTTTTTGTAATGGCATCAAAGCGTCCGGAAATGGTTCAAATGATACGAATGATAATCAACCTTGCACCAGCAATTTTTGTAAACCATATGCAAAGTCCAGCACGATATTTAGGCGCCTTCAGGAGGGAGATTCAGGTAAAGTAATAAATCTCTAAAAACTCACCTTTAAAAAAAGGTAAAAAAAGGCGACCAGTTAAGGGCACGCCATTAACAAAAATTATCCATTGCAAACCCATGTAGAATCCTATCCTATTGCAAACCCATGTAGAATCCTATGAAAAATTAATCATTGCAAACCCATGTAGAATCCTAGGCAAAATTAACCATTGCAAACCCATGTAGAATCGTACCCATTGCAAACCTATGTAGAATCCTATGAAAAATTAACCATTGCAAACTCATGTAGAATCCTATGAAAAATTAACCATTGCAAACCCATGTAGAATTGTATTAAAAATTATCCATTGCAAACTTATGTAGAATCCTACATTGCAAACCCATGTACAATAGAATTGTATGAAAAATTATCGATTATAAACCCATGTACAATCGTAACAAAAGTAATGAAATAAAAAAAAAATTGAAAGTAGAAACTTGTACCAGTGGAAAATTAAAGTTGCAGACATATATAGAGTCGTATAATGAATCAGTAAAAATTTAAATTTGCAAATGTAGAATCGTACCATAAAAAAACTTATCTTTTAAAAAAAAATAAACAAGATGCCAAGTCCATGCGCCATGTGAAAAAGAAATAAAAAAATTTTAGTTAAAAAAACTGGGCGCGCTGCTAAGTTTCAAAATTACAATGCACCTTAAAGTAACATTAATTAATTTAAACACAAAACATATTTTAACTGTAATGAGTTTAAAAGTAACAATTTAATTTTAATATTGTTAGAATATTATTTAGCAGCGCTCCCAGTTTTTTTAACTAAAATTTTTTTATTTCTTTTTCACATGGCGCATGGACTTGGCATCTTGTTTATCTTTTTTTTTAAAAGATAAGTTTTTTTATGGTACGATTCTACATTTGCAAATTTAAATTTTTACTGATTCATTATACGACTCTATATATGTCTGCAACTTTAATTTTCCACTGGTACAAGTTTCTACTTTCACTTGGCGCAATTTTTTTTTTATTTCATTACTTTTGTTACGATTGTACATGGGTTTATAATCGATAATTTTTCATACAATTCTATTGTACATGGGTTTGCAATGTAGGATTCTACATAAGTTTGCAATGGATAATTTTTAATACAATTCTACATGGGTTTGCAATGGTTAATTTTTCATAGGATTCTACATGAGTTTGCAATGGTTAATTTTTCATAGGATTCTACATAGGTTTGCAATGGGTACGATTCTACATGGGTTTGCAATGGTTAATTTTGCCTAGGATTCTACATGGGTTTGCAATGATTAATTTTTCATAGGATTCTACATGGGTTTGCAATAGGATAGGATTCTACATGGGTTTGCAATGGATAATTTTTGTTAATGGCGTGCCCTTAACTGGTCGCCTTTTTTTACCTTTTTTTAAAGGTGAGTTTTTAGAGATTATATCATTCATTTTTGTATATTTTTATGACCGGAATAGAACAATTATTAAACATGTTTATCTAAACTTCTTTGCTTAAAATGATGTGTACAATCATATCCTAGAATCCTGATCATTCCTCCTAAAGCACCCTATTTATATAAATTTACCCATATGTGTGTGTGTGTGTGTGTGTACTAATGTCGAGCATTTTTTATACATTTTCTATTAAATTTAGATAAAAGTTGCAGGATTTCGAAAAAGAAAAAGTTGACACAGACTTTTTCCTAAACGGCGATTTTCAAGGTTATTTAAAGGTCACTTATATTTTCAAAATAGAATTACCTTAATTTTTCTCATATAAATCGATTCCTCGCAATATTTACTATAAAAAGTTGTAAAGGTATAATTTTTACATAATCTTACATAAACTTCGAAATATTACAAATATTTTATTTTATGAAATATTTCAGTTTATGTAAAATTATGTTAACTATCTTTTAAATTATTCACTTTTAGCCATCTTACCCTTACAACCTTTTATAGTGAATATTGCAACAAATTGGTTTATATATATAATATATATATAACATCAGTTATTATTAATTGATGTTTACATTTATTTTTAGACTTACTAGAGCTCAAATGCTCCACATTTTTTGCAAAAACTGTTTATTCTACAGATTTCAAATATGCTTTTAAATGATGATTGAATATTTCCTTTTTTTAATTATTTTTATTATTATTTTTCAATCTCAATCAACTTTTATAACTTTATGCCAGCACGATACAAATACATGTGTCTTTATTTTTTTTATTATTTTCATTATTATTTTTCAATCTCAATCAACTTCTATAACCTTATGCCAGCAGGATACAAATACATGTATGTCTTTATTATTGTATCAACTCTTGTCTTTTCCATGTAACCATGTCTTCATAGTTTGAATTATCCCTTCATCTTCTCAATCTTTCGCAGAGATTTAATTAATTAAATACACTTCACACGAAATAAAGTTTGCTGGAAGATATACAGCAAACGATAACTGTAAAAACATGATTACGTGGAAAGAACAAGAGTTGGTACAGTAAAGGCAAGTAAGTAAGTACATGTAATGTATCGTATTGGCATAACGCTATATCCGCGGAGCAGATAATGTGGCTGTAGAGGTAGTCTGCAGTGCAGCTAATGTGGACGTAGATGTTGATTGAGATAATTGTCTAATATAAAATAGAATTTAAAAATTTAGTTTAAAAAGCTGTTGCATATATAAATAAAGTTTATTTTTTCTAAATTTGGAATATGTTTAATTAATTAATTTTTTAAGTCTATGTTTAATAAATTTTTTAAGTCTGTATTCAATAATTTTATTCATTTGATAAATACATGTATGTCTTTATTTTGATATGTTTAATATAATTAGAAATTCATTATTAATTAGATATGTAAACTATAAATTCATATATAATATTTGAAAATATATGTGAATATTTAAATTTTTATCTTCTCCTTCCTCTCCTTCAATCTCTTTAATATCAATATGTGTATGTGTGTACACGCGCGCACATTTGTACGTATTTATTTAATTATTGGATAGTTGAGAGTACTTAATTGATAAAAAATTATGACAATAATAATCCTTGTTTTTTTTTCTTATTATTTACTCAGATTTTTTTGTCTATCTTATAAGATAAACACTTTAGAGATTGAATATTTCAAGTAAACTAATTGTAAGTAAATTTCACATTAATGCATATAGATGTTTAATCATGAATGTACTAAATAAGTACACAAGACGAACAGTGAGTGAGTGAGTGAGAATGAGAGAGTGTGTGTGTGTGTGTGTGTGTGTGTGAGAAAGAGAGAGAGAGAGAGAGAGAGAGAGAGAGAGAGAGAGAGAGAGAGAGAGAGAGAGAGAGAGAGAGAGAGAGTTAGCCAACATAACCCCGCACGCTGCCGATATGGCGGAGCGCCACTATCGCCATCTGTTGTAAAACGTGCGAGATGGACAAAATTACCACTACATGCATCTTGCATGTGTTGTGTACGTGTGATATATGTGTGCGCATGTGTTGTATACGTGTGAATACGTGTAACACGATACTACTATGTATGCGTGGTCGATGATGATAATGACGGGGACGTTTCTTAATAGAAATTTTTCATATTTCGACTTTGCATTTATATATCTCTGCTTACAAATCACGTAGAGCAGAAATAAAGACACTTTTATTATATAATTCGAACTCAATCTATCGATTAAGTCTAGTATAAACTCGATTGCTTCAGCCATTATTGAGGATTCGAAATATTATAAAGACTCAAATGTCCGACTCGCGTTAAGATACACGGTGTCTCCGCTACGCCCTTAACTGGTCGCGAGACACTACCGTGTCTCTTGATAATTTATATAACAAAATTTATTATATATATATATATATATATATATAATAAATATATAGAAATATCATTATTTAAAAAAAATTAATGATATTAAAATTATATTATTGACATTAAAATATAATAATGCAATATAATGTTGATATACTGATATCACTATCAATATAAATGAAAAAAGATATTAATTAAAAAAGAGATTTTTCTCTTAATAAAATATAAATAAATACAAAATTTTTCAACAAATTTATTCTAAATATTCAAAAATTTATATATTTATTCACGTTTTGTGTCCTGTTTTTATTACAGTTATTAATAATAATTTTACTACAGCTACTAATAAGAGAGCTTTGATTGAAGATGATGATGGATACTTTCTTTTACGGTGAATTTCTACAAGATGACTTTTTAAGATCTATCATAAGAAACTACTGCGATCAGAACATCAACAGAGAGTTCTGTGCTAATATGTTGTTTTTGATCTTTGGTTTCGATCGCGAACAACTTGACTACGTGAGTAATAATTTTGTGAATGTCGTTATCATAGACATTCGCACGATTTTTTCCAAAGGAGAGAGCATTATTAATTTTTTCTTTAATTTTCTTAAATTTCATTTTTTTATTTTGTTATTTTAATTTTTTTATATAAAATATACAAATAAATTCCAGTGTTTATTCAAAAAGAGAGCAAATGCTTAATTTTTTTTACTTTTATAATTACATTTCTTTGTTTTTTATTTTTTGCTCATGCATTAATCATACATCAAATACATCGGATTTTACGTACATGTCTTGTTGTCTTCCTTATTTAGACTTTGCTGCCCCTCATCTTGAGTCACTATCCGGCCGGTACCTCGGCTAAGACGTTGGTGCACTTCGTTCAAGAAATTGAATCGGGCAAGTTTCGCGAATATGACTATGATCGCGAGGAAAATCTGCTGATGTACAATTCGGTGGAACCTCCGGAATACGATATAGCAAATATCAGGATACCAATGGCTTTGTTCTACTCCAAAAACGACTGGATGGTCGATCCCGTAGTAAGTAACGAAAAAAATAGATATTTAAATAATGAAAATATACAGAAAGTCCGAAAAAGGTCAGACCCTTAGATAAAAATCTTGAAAAATATATTCATATTGCATAAGATGAGTTGCTGAATAAATCATTACATTATTAAGACGAAAATCTAATGAAAGTTTTCATTGGTTTTTAGGGGTCACATTTGAAAATTTAAAGTACTTCTACAATGTAGTTCTAATTAGATGATCAAAAATGTTATACGTATTTGTATGATATCAGTACAAACTAATTATTTATCGCAATTGAAAAATTTTATCGTAAACTTAATTATTGTTCATGGTTGAGATCTCTTGAATTAGTGAAGGTTTTTCCGCATTCTTCAACATTTATCGTAAACTTTATTATTGTTCATGGTTAAGATTTCTTGAATTAGTGAAGGTTTTTCCGCATTCTTCAACATTTATCGTAAATTTTATTATTGTTCCTGGTTGAGATCTCTTGAATTAGTGAAGGTTTTTCCGCATTCTTCTTTACATATGGACTCTTTCTTCCATTCGTCTTCATTTTTTAGATTTGTTAGAATTGTAATTATGGCAAGCCTTTCACAGAACTGTAACTTTCAAGCTTTGTAATTCAGAAAATACTTTATAAAAAATAACTTAATTATAGTGTTTTGAAAAGTTCTCGAGGTAAGCTACAAGAATATGTAATAAAAAATATAGAGGTCCATTTAAGAAATTCAAGGTGACCCTATTCTGACCTTGATAACGTCACCCAATTTTTTTAAACTCTACAACTTTTGTCTAAAACTTTTTTCTGTAAAACGTATATTTTTCGAGATTTTCCGATCTTTTTGGGACACCCTGTATACAAGGAGTCCAATTTTAATCGCTGACTCCTCAAAAACTTTTTTATTTTTGATTGCATAACAAAATGTCTCATACAAAAATTATTTGATTTGAAGTCAGAGAATGGCTCTGCAGACTTTTTTCTAATAAGCATTTTTCAAGATCATTTGTTTTTTTAAATAAAAAAAAATATATATATATATATATATATGTGTATATAAATCGATTCCTCGCAATTTTTGGCATAAAAAGTTATAAGAATAAAAATGATAAAAAATGTAGAGTTTACGAAATATTTCATATTTAAGTCTGATATACTATGAAATATATATTTCGTAAAGTATTTATTTTTTGATAATCTTATTTTAATACTTTTATGCACAAATAACAATCAATTTTTGAATTATTGTACAATAAAAAATAAAAAAGTTTTTGGGAGTGAGTGATTAAAATTAGACGACTTGTACAGTGGAGATTGATTTGCATTAAAATTGTATATATAAATCAAGCTTCGTACACGAAAACAAAAAAATAGTTTAAACAAAAGTGGCACACAATAACACGCCAAATACTTCTTCAAGGATTCGAAGAGATTGTCCCGTATGTTACCCAACTTAATGGACCTGTATGAAATACCGTTTCCCAATTTTAATCACATAGACTTTGTATGGGCCAAGGATGCGCGAAAACTTGTGTACGAAAGAATTCTCAAGATCATAAGGGAGAATCCAAATAATATTACATCTACAAAGTGATAACATTAATAGCTAAAATAATAGATAAATATTATATTATTTGAATCTTAGTTGATTAAATTATTTAATTAAATAATTTAATTATATATTATATATTTAATTTATATATATATAATTAACTATATATATATTATATAATTTAATTATATGTATTATTATATATATAATTATTCATTTCTGCCTTTACTAAAGCTAATAAGTAGAGGAGACCGGGGACAAAAGTAACACAGTATTTACACCACAAGATATTTTTAAATAAAATTGTGATTTGGAGCAGATATCGATATCTTGATCTTTTTTTGTATAAGTAGATAAATTTATTTAGAGTTGAAATGTTATAAAACTGCTCTGTAATTTTAATTATAATTATTTAATTGCTCAATAAAGAACATTTAAGTGTTTTAAAGAAGATAATACAAGTTAATTGATTTATTTTTTTTATTTTTCTAATAAAAATTATTTAATATTTAATAAATAAAATATTTTGTATTTTGTTTATTTACGTAAAAATATACGTATAAAATTTTACTTATTCTGTTCTGTTTTAAAGATTGTTTCAAACATGATTTTTAGTTTAAAAAATCAACTTAAAAGATTATATTTAAAATTAAATTTTTTTTTATACAAGTTTTTATTTTATATTTAAAAAATATATTGATGTATACATGTTTAATATATAAAAATAAAAAAATTAAATATGTACAATTATAAGTTATTTTGTTACTTTAATATCAAATATATACATATATGATCAACTGTCGTATAATACTGCTCATGTGTTTTTCTATTTTAATAATATAAATTTCTATTAAGTATTTATTGTTTAATTTCCATAATTTCCATAATTACGTTCTTTAAAATCTTCACTGAAATAACGCATCCCAAATATTATTAAGATATAACAAAAATAAAAGTATGTCATTTGCATTTTAAAAAACTATGGATCTTATCTTATTCGTGTTTATTTTAATCGAATTATCGTATCATGCATTTCTTTATGTATTTTAGGCTTTGTTTTCGAATAAAATTGACTCACTTTTAGCTGTGTAGAATTTTTAATATAACAGACAAGACAAGTATAAATTTTTTTTCAAAGTGTATTTTATCTTGGTACTACACGTGTTCATGCGTTCACCATGCATGTCAAAAGAGAAAGGCCTATAGCAGAGAATTAAACGTAAACGCTTACGTCTGTCGTAGTCGTAGACGTAAAGTAAGGCATAGAATAATACGTAATTATATCATTTTATTTTAGGCACAGAAAATACATAATTACGTCATTTTATTTTCTGTGCTTTACTTTGCGTCTTCGACTACGACAGACGTAAACGCTTACGTTTAGTTCTCTGCTACAGAACGAAGAGAGCAGGAAACATTTGGAGCATATATAAAACTTGCACTTTGCTTGCCCAGCGCAAATGTAGTCATATGCAACAGCGACATTCTTTCAAACAGGTTTAATGTTCTGTGGTTCTGAGAATTTTTGTACCTCTCATATTTCCATTGAAATGTATATTGATATAATTAATAACGCGATATAAGCTTACATAATCATTTTTCCTCTATTCGATTAAAAATTACCATAATATTGATTCATTCTAATAACATTCTAATACCTGTAAAGTTTAGTTACGTGCAGTCGTGTTCCTCTAGTTCTCGTTTGCCTTTTTCGATATACGCACATATTCCTCGATACTCCGAAAAATTCTCTCCGTTTACTTTTAGTGTCTATTGAATCATTTATCGAATGCGATGAGATTTATGGGAATTATGTATTTAGTGTCGTTTTGTGGTCATCTTGATGTTGTGCCGACAGATGTGACATTTAAACTAACAATAAGCGCACACTTGAAAAGAATATCTTGGATTGGTTGGAATTGGCTGAACAACAAGGAATTCAATTTCACTATTGTCCATACGGTGAGTGTTGAGCATATATAAAAATAAGGATTAAAATTTTCACTATATTTTGATTAGTTGATTAATAAAATTTTTTTGATGTTAGAAAAATGATCTTACGTCACAAATAAGTTGATTTTGGGTCTCCCAAGTAGCAAATTGACGACGTCATTAAAAATTAAAATGGCGTCATTATGATGTCTAATGACGTCATTCGACGTCAAAGTGATATGTATACTTGCTATCTGGGTTCTGTTCAGTTTATTTATAAAATTTTTTTAGTTTTAAAAAATTTGTAAAATTATACCTTGGCATTAACTATTTCAACAATAGCATTTATATCTTTTTTTTTGCTTTTTAAAATCGATTTAAATTTTTATTGTTAGTATATGCGTATGTTATATTATTAGTACTCTTTAAAAAATTAGCATTAAATTTTCTTCTTTTTATTTTAAAATAAATATATATTATTTTAAACATATTACAATAAATTACAATAATTAAATTTTTATAAAAATATTTAAACTGAAATTTAAGAAAATTTAAGAGCATACATAAGAAAGATTCTTTAAAAAATTAGCTTCTAAGATAATTTCTATCAAGCATCATATTTATTATGCTAAGAAACATATCCCTGCAGTTTTATATGCAAACTACATCAATTATATATCTCCTTAGATTTATTAATGTCTATTTTATTTTATTTCAAATATCTTAGAATTATTTACTTATATTATTATATATAATATCTTTTTATAATTATTATAATTATTGTTGTTTTATATTGAATGCAGAAATGTCATATTATTTCGAAAATAAAAATACTACATGTAGTTTGTCTCACAAATTTATTTCAATTTTTAATTGATTTTTATTGCTCATTTTTCTTCTAGCCAGAGATGATAAGAAGAGCGGGTTATCCCGTGGAAGTTTACGTTATAATGACAGAGGACGGCTATTACTTGACGTTACATCGTATTCCAGGTGGCAAGGGCTCTTTACCTGTACTATTTCAACCCGGGTATTTATGCAGCTCTGGTATCTGGGTTGCTCTTGGCAAAGGCAAAGCACTTCGTACGATCTTCCAAACGTCTTCCGTAAACAAGGCTTCCTTTTATTAGACTTTCTTCCTTTTATTAGAAAATCTAAGAAAAAAATTTTAAATATAAATATAAAAAAAAAAATTTTATTACACTTTTAATTGAATTAACGTTTTATTGTTAGTGCAATAAATTATTTTTTGGAAATTATAAAAAATAAAAAGTTAAATTTTCAAATATGTCATTATGTAATATATATTTTTGTATGCATGTATATATAGATATATATAATATATTGAGAAATATTTATTTAATTTATCTAAATAATAAGTGAATTATAAGTCAGTTTGTAATGTGTATTCATTACTGAAAATATTATCTGGTATGTAAAGATATTGTACAATATATTTATATGAGAAGATGTAAGTTATGTATATAATAAATTTTACAATTAATATTATCTTTTTTTGTATTTTAGCTTATTTATTAGCGGATCGAGGATATGATGTCTGGTTGGGCAATTTTCGTGGTAATATTTATTCAAGAAGACATATTTCCTTATCACCGTCAGAATCGAAATTTTGGGATTACAAGTATTTTCATATAATAAAACTAATGATATTTTGTGAATTATATAGTTTTAGCAATGTCTGATTAATTTAGTGTCAGTCTTATAAAGTTGCTTTGTATATATATATATATATATATATATATATATGTGTGTGTGTGTGTGTGTGTGTGTGTGTGTGTGTGTGTGTGTATTTATTATGATTATGTTTTATAATTATTTTTTATTGATTAAATCTTTGTTTTAGCTTTAACGAATTGGCTGTCTATGATTTACCCGCGATAATTACATTTATCTCAAATATGACATCACAACCAATACATTCGTACGTTGGTATTTCTATGGGCACAACTATCTTTTACGTAATGGCAACGGAGCGTCCAGATATTGCTAAAATGGTTCAAATGATGATAAGTTTCGGACCAGCGGCATTTCTAGATCATATGACAAGTCCTATACGGTACCTCACGTTTCTCTGTAAAATGGATTGGGTAAGATAATATAAGCTGTTGAATACTGTTAAAAATAATTGATTACATAAAAACTATTTAAAAATATTTAAAAAACAAAATAACATTTATTTATTGTATTTATCTTATTTTTATATTTTATACATAAACAGATTAGTATAATATTTTTTAAAAGTAAATATTACTGCAACAATAATAATGTTACAGTCCAGACAGAGCATATATGTTCTTTAAAAAAATGTCTAAAAAATTAATTAAAGATATCTTTAGACATCCAAAATTTGGACACATAATATCTGTTCTACTATTTAAAAAAGTACACGTTACTTCTAGTCATGTATATCGAATAAAACATATTTCTTATAGCAGAATAAACACTATCTGAAAAATAAATAAGAAACCGTCAAAGATTTCTGTTTCCAAAATTTTCGAAACATTGATTCTAAAGAGATTTAAACAAAAATATGTTTGTTTTTGCTTCACATTCTATTCGTTTCTGCCAAACATATTTAATTTTTATCATCATTTATTCTGTCATCAATTTTATATCTAATAAATTGTTTTTTGATAAATTAAAATTATAAAATCAAAAAGCTTCTCAAAAAGACAATTAATTTATTATTTAGAGATCTCTAATATAATATACTATTAAAAGATCTTCAATTGCAGATAATGCGGTTTGTCTTTCACAAATTCCTGCTAATTGATTTTGTAAGGGTTTCCCTTAAATATTTGTGCAGTCATAATCTCGGAAAGGAAATCTGCGCTCATACAATATTTATGATGTGGGGTTACGACTGGGAGCAGTTGGACTATGTGAGTAATAATTTCCGGAATGTCGAACAATGGAGATGATCCGAAGTAGCAAAATGACGTCATTAGACATCAAAATGTCATTATAAGACGTTAAAATGATGTCTTTGATGTCTTATGAAGTCATTCGACATCAAAATGGCGTAGGTACGCTTGCTACCTGAGATACAACTATAAAGCTTCGATCGTCACAGGGCTCACATGATTACGTGATTCGAATTAAATTTTGCGTACATGTCTGCTTATCTTTTTCACTTAGATTCTGCTGCCCGACATAATAAGTCACTTTCCAGCTGGTGGTTCAGCTTATATCCTTATGCAATACGCTCAGGCAATCGAATCGGGCAAATTTCGCCAATATGATTACGGTCACGCAAAAAATCTATTGATATATAATTCGATGGAACCTCCGGACTACAATCTGTCGAAAATCACAGTTCCGATCGCTTTGTTTTATGGCCCTGGCGACACGTTGGTTGACATTGTGGTAAATAATAAAAACAATAATAAATTAGAATGTTAGAAAGAAAATATATATAAGAGATCATTCACGATGTAATTATACAGGATGTCCTATTTTAATCTATCATCCCGATTTTAATACAATCACTATTTATAAATTTACAAAAAATATTTTTCTAAAGAGCGTTTTCCAAATAGGTTAAAAGTCATTTATTTATTTATTTATGAAACCATCTTAATTCTTTTATACAGATTGATTCCGCATAATATTCGGTATAAAAAGTTATGAGAAGTAAGATGGCCAAAAATGAATAAAATAAGAAAAAAATCAATTAATATAAAAAACACGCGTATAGTTGTTTTTAAGAAAAGATATCCAGCAAACACAGTATATAAATGTTATATACTCATATGTACACACTATATATGTACATACTCAGATGTAATATTTTTAATATTACATATATTAACTTGTAGTTATATTGTCATTATATCCCAAGATAGCACTGACTTATCAATACATTAATGTGGTATTTGGTATATAATTACAATATAACTACAATGTAATATATGTTATATTAAAATGTTACATCTATGAGTGGAAAATTACAACTAACATGGATGTTACATGTAACGTACACGTTATATTACCTGTTATATTTCGTTTTATTATAGCAATGTAACAATTATATATCGGTGTTTGCTGGGATGTAACTGCTAGTTGCAAATTACATACATCACATACTACAAAATGAGATACCTTGGCGCATATCTTGAAATGCATATAAAATTTCATATAATACGAAAGATGATCTAAAAGAAAAATGTTTTTTTCAAGGATTTGAAGAGGTTGTTTTGCGCATTATCGAATGTAATGGATGTATATGCAGTGCCGTGGTCTAATTTCAATCACGTAGACTTTATTTGGGCCAAGGATGCACCGAAACTGGTTTACGAAAGAATTTTCCGGATTATGAAAAAAGAGAAAATGAATGATACACTGGCAATAAAAATGAAAAATGAATGTAACACGCTAAATATTTAGCAATGAATTTTCCTATAATAAATATAAAAATATATGTTTTTACCGACCGAATGCGAATATTTAGTTTTTATTAATAACTTTTTATTGACTTTACTAATGAATAAATCCTTTTCCACGATTAAAGTATTTATAAAAACGAACCGCGTTAGCTATAATTGCATATATAAATCATATAAAAATAAAAAAATTACAGTTTCGTTATCGACTTCTTTGTGTCAGTTCGTAACAATACTTATTTAATAAAAAAGTACTGCAGTTTGTCTGTGCATGAAATATAGTATACGCGGTAAGGATAATATGAAGAATTATTAGTAAACGATTAAAAGTGAGATTGCGAATCTAATAAAAAAGTTATATATTAAAAACATTTTCACGCGTATGTGTTGTATACGTGCATATGTTTAGATATGTGTGGTGCTAACCTATCATGTGTATATGTGTATACGTGCATATGTTTAGATATGTGTGGTGCTAACCTATCAGAGTTTCGTTTAAGTTACATTATATTAGTATAAAAACAAAAAAAATTATAAGTAAACAATTATTTTCAAACAGCAATTTATTGTTTATGTATTCTCGCAATATCTCGAATGTATTGTTGCCTTTTTATCGTGATGCCGATTGGTTGTTGGTTGTCGAGCATTTCCTGCGCTATGACTTGCTTCATTTGTATCCTCGTATGTTGGTTATACGATACGACTGTCAAACTGTCATACTGGCTGCGTATATGTGATAGTGCGTGTGAGTTAAGAAAAAAATACAGAGAATAAAATACATCATATATATAAATATATAAAAGATAGTGTGTGTAAGTTTAAAAAAAAATACAGAGAAAGAAGAAAATAGGAAAGTATGTATGTAATATATTATATACATTTCTATTTTAATCGTTATGTAGTAATTTTACAACCTCTCTATTATATATTTTCTATTTTGTCTATATTTATATATATATTATAAAATGTATCTTTATATACATTTTATTATATATTTTCTCTATTATCTATATTTATATATTATAAAATCTGTCTTTTTATGGAAATATTTAGACATCCTTGAATAGCAGTATTTTACAATTTCATACCATCGTAACGATCATGTGTTATAAATTATATATATAATAGAAAGAAAGAAAGTGACGGAGAATAATCGAGAAGACGAGAGAAAGGAAAAAGGAGGATTATAGAAAAGAAAAAGAAAGAGAAAGAAGAGAAAAAAGAATTTGGAAAAAATAGAGAAAGAGAAAAACAGAAGGAAGGAAAAAGAAGATATACAATATTAGATTAATAAATTTATATTTTTTATAAATGTAATAAGTATATATATATATATATATATATATATATATATATATATATTTATATTTATATGGAGTATTTCATACCACACATAAATCGACCACTTTTTATTTGCTTTATTTTTTCGTTTTTGCACTTATTAAAAGTAGTTTCCATGATTTTTTTAGATTTTTATCTCTATTCATATTTGAGTTATGAATTTCTTAAAGAAATTAAAAAAAATGAAATTAAAAATTTTTAAATATTTATTACTCTAAGAAGAATAAAGATGTTGCTATTGAAAAGGTGGTCATTTTTTTATTTTTGAATTATTTTTCTAAAAAAATATTGAAAAAATTTTCAAAAATAATTTAATAATGTTTTAGTCAATTTTAATCGAATTTATTTTTTTTCCCTCAATGAGACCCCTTCGATTTTTTTCTAAAAAATTGATAACATTTGCGACTTAAATACAAAATTTTTGAGCCATAAACAAAGAGGGGATTCAAATAATTTCAATTTTTTAACACCATTTTTTTTGAAATTTTTTTTTTCGACAATTACATTCCTTAATTTTTTATATTACTCCAATAAAACAGAAAAAGTTTACAAAGATAATAATTACTTAGTTTAAAATGTTAGTAGTCGAGAAAAAATTTTAATATTATTTATTTTTTTGCTATTTTGCTCGAAATAATGTTTGTTAATTTCTTAGACGACTCGTATCAAAAGAAAAACTTTGCAAATGAAAGACATTATTTAAATATAATACATTCTATTAAAAATTATAACAAAGGAAAAGAAAAATAAAAAATAAATTATTTTAATAAATTATTTAAATTTTTAAAAAATAAGTGTTATGTTATAATTTCTAATTAAATATGTTTTATTTAAAAGTTTAACCAGGCTCTGTAATATAAATATAAATTTAAAGTGTAAGACAGGCAATAAGATTCAAATCGCGGATGACAGTGCGTTTATTTCCTTAGGGGGGAAACAGGGGATGTATGAAATTAAATCTCTTGTAGAGATTATTCCAATTTTAAATTATAGCCGTGACCAAGTAAAATTTGGTGCTTTGTGCACAGGTATTTAATTCCAACGAAAAAATTTAGTTTTGTTGGGATAACGCACTGTCATTCGCGATTTGGCTCTTATTGCCTGTCTTACACTTTAAATTTATGTTTTATTTAATTAATGTCTTTTATTTGCAAAGTTTTTTTTTCGATACCAGTTGTCTAAGAAATTAACAAACATTATTTTTAGCAAAATAGCAAAAAAATAGTTTTAAATAATATTAGGATTTTTTCTCAATTATTAATACTTTAAAATAAGTAATTATTATCTTTGTAAACTCTTTCTTTTTTATTGGAGTAATGTAAAAAATTAAAGAATGTGATTTTCGGGAAAAAATTGCAAAAAATGGTGTTAAAAAATCGAAGTTATTTGAATCCCCTTTTTACTTATGACTCAAAAATTTGTATTTAAGTTACAAATGTTATCAATTTTTTGGAAAAAAATTGAAGGGATCTCATTAAGGGAAAAAAATAATAAAATTAAATTGATACAAAGTTTCGCTCGTATATTGAAAAACAAAAAGTGATAAATGTAAGGCCAATTTATCGAGCTGAATATTCGAGTTGTTCAATCAAATAACATTTATTTCATGTATAATTTAATTGGCTTAAGAGAAAACAACATTGCAAGTATATCAACAGCATCAAACCCATAGATATACATTGTTTTTTACACTTTGAAACCTCACAACCGACAAAAATATCAAAAAATTCTCCTAGGGCAATCACTAATGATGCTAAGGAGATTAGTATACACATAGAAGCCAATAAATTTCTTAATGATACAATTCATCCTTTGGAAAATACGAATAAAAAATGGTTTATCAATCTCTCCAACATAGATATTCCTCTTAACGTTTCTAATCTGTTGCAAATGGGTGATAATTTCTGGCTCCCAAAAATTAATAAAAAATAGCGATACATGAATTTATCAAAGACATAGAGAGTAATCATAAACGGAATAATATTAATAATCTCACAACTATTAGAAATATCGCGGTTCCGAAATTTGCACAACTTCTCAACACTAACGATAAAAATGACTTAATTCAACAAAAACTACTTTGTTCACACAGAAATTCAATAAAATTTTGCAAAGATAATCCGAATATTCTATTCACACGCGCGGACAAAGGTAACGCTACGGTTGCAATGGAGAGATCTTATTATATTAGTAAAATGGAAAACGTATTAAAAGATGTCAACACATACACTATTGTTAAAAAAAATCCTTGCAAAAAAATAGAGAATGAATTGAATGAGTTGTTGAAGAAATGGCTTAAGGAAGATTATATCTCAAAAATGAATATTATAAATTACGTTGTAGTGATTCTCTCCTTCCAAAAGCGTACGGATTACCTAAAATCCATAAGGAAAACTATCCAGTTAAAATCATAGTTTCATCGGTTGATACAGCTTTATACTCGCTGGCTTCGTTTTTACAAAACATCTTACAAACTAGCCTACCCAAAGCGAAAAGTCATATCAATAATAGTTTTGAGTTGTACAGCATGTTGTCTGGTAAAAAGATTGATGAGAACGATAGAATGTTTTCTTTAGATGTGGTTTCTTTATTTACGAACATACCTTTAGATCTTGCGATTAACGGTATTAACGAAAGATGGGATCACATTGAAATAAATACTAGAATACCGAAAAGCGAATTTTTACGTGGTATAAAATTTATATTGACTTCTACATATTTTACATTTAATGACATAATTTACAAACAGATTTTTGGGACCCCTATAGGGTCTCCGTTATCACCAATTATAGCTGACCTGGTTATGCAAGATCTTGAGGATACAGTTCTTAAAGCGACAAATTTAAAATGTTTGTTTTATTTCCGTTATGTAGATGACATAATACTGGCCACTTCTATGACTAATATGACTCAGATAGTTATATTCCGTTTTATTATAGCAATGTAACAATTATATATCGGTGTTTGCTGGAAATAAATATATTAATTTTGCTGAAAAAATGTTGTATAAATTTTTAAAGTTTATTTTAATCGATGATTTTATAATATATTTTGTAAAATGTTATTAAAAAAAATAATAGCGTATTATGTTTAGAGTTTAATTTCTTTTAATAAACATGTGTAAGGAACATATATTATTTTAATATATATTTTATATATATTTACATTTTATTTTATATTTCCAAGTATATTTCTTTTATATTAAATCCCAGCCAGAAATGAATGATCAAGAGACACGGTAGTGTCTCGCGACAAGTTAAGGGCGTAGCGGAGACACCGTGTATCTTAACGCGAGTCGGACATTTGAGTCTTTATAATATTTCGAATCCTCAATAATGGCTGAAGCAATCGAGTTTATACTAGACTTAATCGATAGATTGAGTTTGAATTATATAATAAAAGTGTCTTTATTTCTGCTCTACGTGATTTGTAAGCAGAGATATATAAATGCAAAGTCGAAATATGAAAAATTTCTATTAAGAAACGTCCCCGTCATTATCATCATCGACCACGCATACATAGTAGTATCGTGTTACACGTATTCACACGTATACAACACATGCGCACACATATATCACACGTACACAACACATGCAAGATGCATGTAGTGGTAATTTTGTCCATCTCGCACGTTTTACAACAGATGGCGATAGTGGGCGCACCGCCATATCGGCAGCGTGCGGGTTATGTTGGCTAACTGCTCTCTCTCTCTCT